TAATCTGGGAGAACCGGATTTGACTCCCCGCTCCTCCACATGTGTGCTGGTGTGACCTTGGGACAGTCACAAGTTCTCTCAGGGCTGTCCTTGAAAAAGAGCAGTTCTCTCAGAGCTCTCTCAGCCCCACCTGCCTCACAGGGTGTCTGTTGTGGGGAGGGGAAGGGAAAGGAGTTTGTAAGCCACTCTTGAGACTCAGAGGGGAGGGCAAGGGAAAGGAGTTTGTAAGCCACTCTTGAGACTCAGAGGGGAGGGCGGGGTATAAATCCAGTCTCTTCTTCTTCTTCTTCTTTCCCCAAAAGCGCCATTTGTGTCTGGTCCCATGGATCCATTCTGCCGGCAGTGGAACTTTCCTCCAGCCTGCAGCCTTCCCTGATGCGAGAGAAAGCCGCCACCCCCTCCACATTATGTAACTCCCTTCTCTCATCTGTTCTCTCCTGACGTTCAGGGCGTAAATTCCAGAGAGTTCTAAAAACATTTTTGGATGCCGAAGAGTGTTCATGTCTCAGTATAAATTCTGTCCTGATAACTGAGATCGTCCCCCCGGGTGCTGTTAAATACCCACAGAGCTTCATCTGTCATCTACCCGAATGCTACTGGCGGGGGGAGGCCTACGAGGGTTGGGGGGGGGTTGGGACACCAGCTAATTATCTCACTGAATAAATGTGCGGGCGGATTGCATGCGTGCCATTCTTCAAATAGCAGCCGGCTGTCCTTTCCAAAGCCGCTGCTTGAACGGGCTCGGCGGAGGGATCGGCCGTGATCCGTGGTTTCAAATTCAGGAGAGATACCGCAGGGGCGTGTTGATCCCGGCTGCAAGGTCAAACCCTGGTCACCGCCGGGCCATGTGTGTGTCTCCGCAAGACAGATGTGTTTACTCTCTGTGGGGTTTTTGAAGATTGGCCTTGGTGGCCTGATTGCTAATTGGGGGACCTATCAGATGGCTGTTTGAAGTACATTCAGCATTGTTTTGCAGCAAGAGGGCATTTTGCAGGAAAAACCCGTTCCCTAGCGGTTATGTTGAGACTGGCACCATCTACAGGCCGAAAGGCGCTATTGCACAAAGTGTAGTCCTAAACAGAGTTTTGTACCCTTCTGAGACCATTGATTTCAGAAGGTTTGCAAGGGTATGATTCTATTTAAAGGTAAAGGTTCCCTTGCTCGAAAGCCAGTCGAATCCGACTCTAGGGTTGCGGTGCTCATCTCCATTTCCAAGCCGAAGAGCCAGCGCTGTCCAAAGACATTTCCGTGGTCATGTGGCCGGCATGACTAAACGCCAAGGCGCACAGAACGCTGTTCCCTTCCCACTGAAGTGGTACCTATTTATCTACTTGCAATTTCTTGCTTTCGAACTGCTAGGTTGGCAGGAATGATTCTATTTAGGATTGTACTAAATGCATGGCCTATTATATTGTCTTTGTTTTTGTTTGAAAAGCCTCCATAAATTCAAAGGTGATATTTCCCAGAATAACTAACCCAGTATATCAGTCAACGTATCTAATTCTCAACTTGGCCCAATCTGTGGATACTTAGGTTGGCTGGTGGGTGGGAAG